GTCCTAAAAGAATTGTCGGGAAAACCTCCTTGGCCACCATGACAGCTTGACTGCCTGCGTGTCCGTCGTTTGCTGCGAGGAACTGGTAACTGCCTCCTCCATTTTGGAGCCCTTGTTCTTGGCAACTGCGTAGCCGTAGTCACCTCCTCCTCCAGACTCCTCGTCAGGGAGGAGGCTTGCCTTGCCCAGGCAAGCGCGCAGCTGGGTCGGCAGCCACCACATTCCGACGCAAGGAAGCAGGCTGGGGTGCACCGATATATATATATATATGTATATATTATATGTATTACACCTCGATCCGATTAGCAGCGCGTTGCACGAAACTGAGCGAAGCAGCGTGAAGAATCCAACAAAACAATGCATTAGGGATGGAGTTGAGGGCGTATTCTAGATTCTAGTCTTTGTCGGTTCAGCGATAAAGGTCACTAAAGATGTCCCAGCTTGGGCAACAGGACGCGTCGACCTGATCCAGGGCCCCCCGCTTCGACACGTTTAATACGAGGCTTCCTTCAACCTTTTGACCCCCCCCACCCCCACCCTCCCCAAAATGAAAGGGGCCAAATCTCGGGGCTTTGGGTTTAAGACCAGCTCTCTCATTCTCTCAAGTCGCTCTGTCAAGGCTGCCGCGCCTGCGCAAGGAAGGCGGCCACGCGGCTCGTGCGCTGCACCTCCGAAAATCACAGAGTGTCCACCCCCAAGCATTCCCACAGACCCCCACAGAGACTCCCACGGATGCGGGAGTCCCCCCCCCCCATCCACCGGGCCAAAGAATCCCGCAAAGGAGAATCTTGCAAAGAATCTGGCAGAGCATCTTTGGAGTTCCCAGACCATCCTGAAGAGAATCCGCTAGTGATTCTGATCCACCCACCCAAAAAAACCGCAAGAACACCACGCAGAGTACGGCATCCCTTCAAAACCAGAACCCTGAACCCTAACCTAAACCTTACCCCAGCACTGCTGGCGCATGGCGAGAGTCGTGCTGGAACTGGCAAGATACAAGATACTTAAGGAACCTTAAACCTGGACCCAGTACTGGCCACAGCCTCTGTCTGCGTGCCCCTATATTGCTCTCCACAAAATGTAGCCCCGCAGTCAGAGACCGAGCGCTGATCTACGGCAAGATGATGCACCTCAGCCTCGAGCTCGGTCATTGGTAGCTGAGTGGGCAGATGAGGCACCTGAAGCGGTTTTCAAAGGCTTGTTAAGGAAGTTTAGGTTGAGGGTTCAGGGCTTCGGGCCGTTTGAAGTTCAGGGGTATGGGATTGCGAAGACTACTCACTTTTCCGCTACGCCGTATAGCTTGATGCAATGGCTTCCTGCGCAAGGTTCAGGATTCCTCACAAGCATGCTAGACACTTGCGCGCGCGTTACAATAAGTACAACTCAGGCATAGTTAATCCACACCCGCGACTTTTGCAGCGTCAGTGCGCCGTGAAACTACCCACCATGGATACGTTTCAAACTATCGTCCCCGTTCGCCTCGGGTTCAAGTCTTTCTGTTCTAGAACTGCTTCGCCCTCCCTTTTTTTTTACGACGATGTCGACCTGCTGCCCGAAGTCCAGCCGGGCAATGCCGTTTTCGGAGCCGGGGCACTCTTCTGCCAGTCTGAACTCCAAGTGGAGGGGGCAATGATGTTTTCGGACCCTCTTGAACGCTGGAAGAAATGGCGCCTTGGCATGGCCCTGCCTGCCCCCGCCATGGTAGCTCTCGCTCGCTCGCTCGCTCTCTCTCTCTCTCTCTCTCTCGATCTCTCGCTCTCTCTCTCTCTCTCTCTCTCTCTCTCTCTCTCTCTCCGCACGCTTAGCCCCCCCCGAAGGGAGAGCTGCCCCGGAGGGCGCGCCAGTCCCCAGTGTCTCGCTCTCTCTGTCTCTCTCTCTCTCTCTCTCCCTAGGTCGAGGGCTTCTGGTCATTCACCGAATCTAGCTAGCTGCGTAAGGGGTGAACCTGCACCAAGTTGTTGTCACCATATGGCGCGAGTTGACCACTGTGAGTCTCCTGACAGGCAGGGTGGAAACTTTGGCTATTTATCTTTGCAGCCGCTGACGCCTAAATAAGCCACCCGCACAACCAGGTGATCGTCATTGATTCATTTCTCAAACGTTGAGCACTGTGTGCACAGCAGGTTGCCGTCGCACCAGATTGTGGGGAGTACCAGAAAACTGCTGCCGGCAAGCGTCTGTCTCTATACCGAAGCCGCTCTGGGCAGCTGCGGCCTCGAAACAAGAGTGGTGATACGAAGTGCACATGAGGCACTGCTAGACATTATAGGGGTTAATGAATAGGGTTTAAGGCAGCAGCTGCAGCAGCAGCAGCAGCAGCAGCAGCAGCAGCAGCAGCAGCAGCAGCAGCAGCAGCAGCAGCGGACTCTGATTGTCTGGTGGGCCTGAGAGGATTGCCATCGCTGTCGAGTAAGGGGACGATTATTCTACTCTAGCCTTGGCAGAACTCCGAGTTGCGGCACTCCTGAAAGTAAGGGATTTGACTAGACGTCGTGTTCTTGCACCCAACTTCTAGTTGGGCATGGGAAGGCCTAGTCCATGCAAGCACATGACTGGCGCCAACAGTTGCCACCAAAACTACCTAAAACAAGGAAGACCAGCGGAATGCCCGGTCTTGCAAGCTTCTAAGAGCCGAACGAAGATGCTCCTTCCAGGAGAGCCTTCCTGGATCCAGCATTTGCAGCACTGCAGCAACAGACACAGGAACCCCTGGTGCGTCTAGGCCCATAAACACCATGGATGGTCTTCGAGGCAGACTTACTAACAGTCGTGGCGAGACTGAGGCAAGGGACCCTAAACCCTAAACCCTAAACCCTAAACCCTAAACCCGAAACCCTAAACCCTAAACCCTAAACCCTAGGTTCTCAAAAGCTTATGGAGTAAAAACCCTTCGGCCTTCGTGGCTTCGATGATTTCTGTTTGACCTGAGCAGTCTGCACAGCTCCCAACATGAAACTGTTCTATTGAGTGCTTCCGGGATTGGGGCGGGGGGGGAGGGGCTTCTGCCCTGCACCAAACTGCTTCTGCATGCGGCGTCATTCTCCTCGCGTACTTCGGCTCCAGGCCCCGAGGAAGAATGTCGCCAGTTTAGGGATTTAGGGCTTGAAGGTCTGGGGTTCGGGCCAGGAGAAGAAAACAGCGCAAGCCCAAGTTGCACCAGTTCTCTATACCGAATACATTCAGCTGTAACTGGGAGCAGGCATTCGGTTGCTTAGGTGCATAACCCCTCAACGATGTATCAGGTTGCATACATCAGCTTCAATCCAACCCTCCATCAGCCCCTGAACCTTAGAATCCGATTCAGATTGTGGCTACAGTTCCCCATTCTGGCGGGAACGGTGCTTCTAAACCCCGAACCCTCAAGCCGAAGGACCCCTCCGAAGGAGCCCTTCAGGAGGAGTTGGGCAATCTGCCTCCTGCAGTCGCCAGAGTCCAGGCGATGATACAACATCGGAGGCCGCGCATCCTGACATCGAAAGCGCGCAGGTTCGGGGCTCAGGTTTGTGGTTTAGGGTTTAGGTTCTAGTCTAGCGGCCCAGTTGTCCCACAAACAGTCAGTTAGAAAGTCTGCGTCTCTTAGCAGGCAGGACAGAAGGCGCCCACGGAACCTAGCGACCTAGTGCCGTGACCGAAGGGATACCGAAGGGTGATCAGGAGGGAGGGTCACGTGGCTCGACATAAAGGGCACCAGGCCAGCACGGATGATGGGTGCAGTTGTTGCTCTCTTGTTGTTTTTTTGGGAGGGGTGAAGAAATTCTAAATCAAGACGCCAAGGCTTATGTGATTGTGTCGACTCAAGCCCACGAAATGGTATAAACATATAAACTACACTCCATGCTTTTTGTGACTGCAGTAGGATGTGTAGTACGCTGCGTGAAATCTGCCAGTCAATCCTTTGTGGCTTCGTGCAAAGAACTGTTTTGAGAGCTGTGCACGATGCAGCAGAGCCACTTCCTGTGGTCACAAGAAGCATAGCTTGCAAGCGGATCTCAGAAACATGCACTATAGGACACTAGGAGACCACGAAAAACCGAAACCTCTTAATTTGATTGCAAACTGCCAAGGTTGTCCCGAAGTACTCTTGCTCCTTCACACGGCAAGCTCCGGAATCTCCCGTTTGCCCGTCAGGTGAGGGAACCTTGCAGCCGCGACACTCTGATCCGCCACTGGCACAAGGGCACTTAACAAAGCAGGGGCCGATGCAGTCCGAAACCCCACAAAAGACTCATGTCGAGTGCTGGCTTCATGGGCAAAGGCCGTTCGAGAAGCTCAAGTGCTGCCAAGGTTCAGATCATGGAATCCAGGTGAACTCAGTATCGAATCGTGGATCTCATGTTCGGGCCAAAACAGCACGTGACATATCCTCAGATGGCCCTCTCGTGGCCACGAACCCGAGCTTTGCTCAATTGCTGACTTCTGACTTGGGCGATTTTCTCTTAGCACTGAGGGTGCGCAAGCCAGGTGAAACTTACTTGCAGGTGCTCTTTGAGCCCCAACAACCCAAAGGCCCTAACACCGACCCCAAACGCTAAAACTCCAATAAAAGCCCTAGTGCGCCCTAGTGCCCTTAACCCTCAACTGCCTCAACTGCCCAGCTCTGCATCTAACAGAACGGCAGACGCTGCAAGCTTGACGCCAAGGAAGCCGGTCAGCCAAAGGCCGACTTGGGTCGCCTGCACGTGAAAACATTTTGGCTTGGGGTCTCTACAGTAAGATTTGCAGGTCTCAGAGTGGCCCCTTTCAAGCACGAATCCCGTCGGGAAGCAACAATTGCAAAAGCCCCAGTGAGAACGGCACGGCAAAGCGCACCGGCTTTTCTTTCAAAGGCATGTTCATGGTCAGCGTAGAACCGAGATGGCTCGCCTGATCGCACCCCCGCGGCCCCTCTTCTCTCCTCCTCTCTCGAAACGTTTCGGATTGCCCCCAAGTACCCCATGAAGCCTGTGGGTGCCCTCGATGCGGCTGCATGCTGAATTCGAAACGTTGCGTCCGTCTAGGACTCAAGCAGTTGGCTCTTGCAACTGCGACAGGGGAACTCTTTGCACCGCCGTGCGCTTCTGGATCGGCTCCGGGTACTTGAATACGATAACGATCACGGCGGCGTTGTCCGCCTTGCTTGCTTTGCCTGCATTTTGCAGGACCGACACTGCAGCATCCTCCGGCTTCGCCGTGGTGCGCAGTGCCTTCCGTGCATGGATCACCGCAAACTGCTCCTTCAGCGGATCCCAGATCCCGTCGGAGCCAATCATCACAAAGTCGATGGTGCCATCGATGTCCACCCGAAATACCTCGGGTTCATTGAGGATCCCATTCACCTTTGTGCCAGTGCTGTAGCGCACATTTCCCATGGCTCTCGAAACAGCCACGTGCTCTTCAACGTACCCTCCCTGGACGTGGACCCCCGACTGCCGCAAACGGTCTGCTTCCGCGGCATTCTTGTCAGGAGCGTGGTCGCAGGAAATGGCCTGGGCCGTGCCATCTTTGGACAAAACGGCCCGGCAATCGCCGAGGTTGGCGATCCACATGTCCGCTCCCTTGAGCAAGCCGAGGCAGGCTACTGTTCCGGAAGATGTCTGCAGGTGGGGCATCGGGTTCTGCATCATTCTCTGGATGACCTCCTCGTCTGCCGCTTTAAACGCAGCCTTGATGGCACCCTCCACATCCTCAGCTTCTTGGAGGTACCGTCCCAGAATTTCCGGGAGGATCTCCTTGACCAAGATCACGGCTTGGCTCCCTGCATGTCCGTCGTATACTGCGAAGAGTTTGTAGCCTGCAATGTCATCCCTCACATCAACTGCGTCCTCCATTTTGGAGCGCTCGTTCTTGGCCACTGCGTAGCCGCAGTCGACGCCTCCTCCGCAGTCGTCGTCCGGGAGGCTTGGGAGGCTTGCCTCCTTGCCCCTGTCAAGACAGGTGCACAGCTGGCTCAGAAGCCACCACATCTCGACGCACGGTAGGATTGGGTGCACCGATACATGTATCAGCTTGATCCGATGAGCATGGCATGGCACACAGTTGTGATTCGTGGCATGAAGCTGAGCGAAGGAGCATGACACATCTGACCGGCCCCTCTTTGTCTTCTGACACTCATATGTGTAGCGGAAAATGCAAGAGTGAGTATTCTAGCTGTTGTATGACTTTGTTTAGATGAGCAGTGCGGATGATTGAAGATGTCTATGCTTCCTTTTACAAAGGCCCGTCCGCCCGCCCAGCCCCGCCCCCCACCCCTGCAAAAACGGGGCCCAAATTTTGGGTTTAGGGGGTTGAGTGCAAGAACCGTCATTCTCTGAAGCCGCTCTCATCTGAAGCCGCTCTATGAAAGATGCCAGGCCTGAGCAAGGAAGGCGGCCACTCGGTTGGCGCACTGCACCTCCGGAAGTCGCGGGCGGGCATCTCCTTTGAATTGACATAAAGATGCCTACACTCTAATCAGGTGCCCAGGGCCAAGAAATAGCACGCCACATGTCACAAGGCCCATCACGGATCTCTTGTGGCCTGTCAGAAACCCGAGCTCTGCCCAATTGCTGATTGACTTCTGACAACTAGCTGCCCTGAAACTCCACGGGCGTCTTCTGCAAGCGTTCACAGTTGCTGAGTGACTTCTGACGACAAGGGTGATTGTTTCTCCCTTAGCACTGAGGGTGCCCAAGCCAGGTGAAACTTGTGTTGAGGTGGTCTTTTTGAGAAACACACAAACCCTAAGGCCCTAACACCCTGGTGCCCCAAAATCCACAACCCTCAACTGCCCCTCAACTGCCATCCTCTGCATCTGAAAGAACCGCAGGTGCTGCCAGCCTGATGCCACGGGAGCCGGCCAGCCAAATGCCGACTTTGGGTCGCCTGCGCCTGAAAACAGCAGCTTGTTGGCTTCGGGCTTAGGGTCTATGCCCCTTTCAAGCACCAAACCCGTCGGGAAGTAGCAAAAAGTCGAAAAAAAAAAAAAAGAACGGCTCGGCAAAGCGCACCGGCTTTTCTTTCAAAGGCATGTTGCTGGTCAGCGTAGAACCGAGATGGCTCGCCTGATCGCACCCCCGCGGCCCCTCTTCTCTCCTCCTCTCTCGAAACGTTTCGGATTGCCCCCAAGTACCCCATGAAGCCTGTGGGTGCCCTCGATGCGGCTGCATGCTGAATTCGAAACGTTGCGTCCGTCTAGGACTCAAGCAGTTGGCTCTTGCAACTGCGACAGGGGAACTCTTTGCACCGCCGTGCGCTTCTGGATCGGCTCCGGGTACTTGAATACGATAACGATCACGGCGGCGTTGTCCGCCTTGCTTGCTTTGCCTGCATTTTGCAGGACCGACACTGCAGCATCCTCCGGCTTCGCCGTGGTGCGCAGTGCCTTCCGTGCATGGATCACCGCAAACTGCTCCTTCAGCGGATCCCAGATCCCGTCGGAGCCAATCATCACAAAGTCGATGGTGCCATCGATGTCCACCCGAAATACCTCGGGTTCATTGAGGATCCCATTCACCTTTGTGCCAGTGCTGTAGCGCACATTTCCGAAGGCTCTCGAGACGGCCACGTGCTCTTCAACGTACCCTCCCTGGACGTGGACCCCCGACTGCCGCAAACGTTCTCCTTCCGCGGCATTCTTGTCAGGAGCGTGGTCGCAGGAAATGGCCTGGGCCGTGCCATCTTTGGACAAAACGGCCCGGCAATCGCCGAGGTTGGCGATCCACATGTCCGCTCCCTTGAGCAAGCCGAGGCAGGCTACTGTTCCGGAAGATGTCTGCAGGTGGGGCATCGGGTTCTGCATCATTCTCTGGATGACCTCCTCGTCTGCCGCTTTAAACGCAGCCTTGATGGCACCCTCCACATCCTCAGCTTCTTGGAGGTACCGTCCCAGAATTTCCGGGAGGATCTCCTTGACCAAGATCACGGCTTGGCTCCCTGCATGTCCGTCGTATACTGCGAAGAGTTTGTAGCCTGCAATGTCATCCCTCACATCAACTGCGTCCTCCATTTTGGAGCGCTCGTTCTTGGCCACTGCGTAGCCGCAGTCGACGCCTCCTCCGCAGTCGTCGTCCGGGAGGCTTGGGAGGCTTGCCTCCTTGCCCCTGTCAAGACAGGTGCACAGCTGGCTCAGAAGCCACCACATCTCGACGCACGGTAGGATTGGGTGCACCGATACATGTATCAGCTTGATCCGATGAGCATGGCATGGCACACAGTTGTGATTCGTGGCATGAAGCTGAGCGAAGGAGCATGACACATCTGACCGGCCCCTCCTTGTCTTCTGACACTCATGCCAATTTTGGGTCTGAAGCCGCTCTACGAAACTACGAAAGCTGCCACGCCTGAGCAGGGAACTCGGCTGGCGCCGCCGCAGCTCCGGAAGTCGTGGGCAGCTTTGGCCTGAGGGCTTTCGGGGCCCGCGCGGGGCTGCCAAGTGGCAGATCATGGACACCCAGAACTCACAGTCGAACCAGAACAGCACGCTACATGTCAGAATATCCTATATGTCCTCACAAGGCCCTCTCGTAACCTCTTGCGCCCCCCCAAGGCCAACTACTGATGGACTTCGTGGTTTTTCCCTTGAGCCAGCCTGGGCATCGAGGGTGCCTACGGGCCTACGCGAAGCCAGGTGAAACTTTTTTGGAAGTGCTCTTTGACAAGTTGAGCCCCAAAACTCTAAGGCCCTAACACCCTAAACAGCCCCACAACCCTCAACCCTCAACTGCCTCAACAGGTTTCAACTGCCTCAACTGCCTCAACTGCCTCAATTGCCTCAACTGCCACGCTCCGCAGAAAGAATCGCAGACGCTGCAAGCCTGACGCCACCGAAGCCGGCCAGCCCAATACCGACTGCCGGCGCCTCTTTTTCGCTTGGGGTCTCCAGTGAGATTTGCAGGTCTCAGAGTGGCCCCTTGCAACTTTCACGCACCAATCCCGTCGCGGGAAGCAACAACAAAAAAAGGCCCACAGCGAGAACGGCACGGCAAAGCGCACCGGCTTTTCTTTCAAAGGCATGTTGCTGGTCAGCATAGAACCGAGATGGCTCGCCTGATCGCACCCTCGCGGCCCCTCTTCTCTCCTCCTCTCTCGAAACGTCTCTGACTGCCTCAACGAAGTCTAGGTGGCTTGTGGGTGCCCTCGAAGCGGCTGCATGCTGAATTCGAACGTGCCGTCCGTCTAGGACTTAAGCAGTTGGCTCTTGCAACTGCGACAAGGGAATTCTTTGCACCGCCGCGCGCTTCTGGATCGGCTCCGGGTACTTGAATACGACAACCACCACGGCGGCGTTGTCCGCCTTGCTTGCTTTGCCTGCATTTTGCAGATCCTCCGGCTTCGCCGTGGTGCGCAGTACAAAAGTGAATGGGATCATCAAGAGCACGTGGCCGTCTCGAGAGCCTTTGGAACTGTGCGCTACAGCACTGGTGCGAAAGTTAATGGGATCCTGAGTGAACCCGAGGTATTTCGGGTGGCCATCGACGACACCGTGGACTTCGTCATCGTTGGCTCCGACGGAATCTGGGATCCGCTGAAGGAGCAGTTTGCGGTGATTCAAGGCAAACTGCTCCTTCAGCGGATCCCAGACTCCGTCGGAGCCAATCATCACAAAGTCGATGGTGCCATCGATGTCCACCCGAAATACCTCGGGTTCATTGAGGATCCCATTCACCTTTGTGCCAGTGCTGAAGCGCACATTTCCAAAGGCTCTCGAGACGGCCACGTGCTCTTCAACGTACCCTCCCTGGACGTGGACCCCCGACTGCCGCAAACGTTCTGCTTCCGCGGCATTCTTGTCAGGAGCGTGGTCGCAGGAATGGCCTGGGCCGTGCCATCTTTGGACACAACGGCCCTGCAGTCTCCCAGATTCGCAACCCACATGGCCGTTCCCTTGAGCAAGCCGAGGCAGGCTACTGTTCCTGAAGATGTCTGCAGGTGGGGCATCGGGTTCTCCACCATTCGCTGGATGACCTCCTCGTCTGCCGCTTTAAACGCAGCCTTGATGGCACCCTCCACATCCTCAGCTTCTTGGAGGTACCGTCCCAGAATTTCCGGGAGGATCTCCTTGACCAAGATCACGGCTTGGCTCCCTGCATGTCCGTCGTATACTGCGAAGAGTTTGTAGCCTGCAATGTCATCCCTCACATCAACTGCGTCCTCCATTTTGGAGCGCTCGTTCTTGGCCACTGCGTAGCCGCAGTCGACGCCTCCTCCGCAGTCGTCGTCCGGGAGGCTTGGGAGGCTTGCCTCCTTGCCCCTGTCAAGACAGGTGCACAGCTGGCTCAGAAGCCACCACATCTCGACGCACGGTAGGATTGGGTGCACCGATACATGTATCAGCTTGATCCGATGAGCATGGCATGGCACACAGTTGTGATTCGTGGCATGAAGCTGAGCGAAGGAGCATGACACATCTGACCGGCCCCTCCTTGTCTTCTGACACTCATGCCAATTTTGGGTCTGAAGCCGCTCTACGAAACTACGAAAGCTGCCACGCCTGAGCAGGGAACTCGGCTGGCGCCGCCGCAGCTCCGGAAGTCGTGGGCAGCTTTGGCCTGAGGGCTTTCGGGGCCCGCGCGGGGCTGCCAAGTGGCAGATCATGGACACCCAGAACTCACAGTCGAACCAGAACAGCACGCTACATGTCAGAATATCCTATATGTCCTCACAAGGCCCTCTCGTAACCTCTTGCGCCCCCCCAAGGCCAACTACTGATGGACTTCGTGGTTTTTCCCTTGAGCCAGCCTGGGCATCGAGGGTGCCTACGGGCCTACGCGAAGCCAGGTGAAACTTTTTTGGAAGTGCTCTTTGACAAGTTGAGCCCCAAAACTCTAAGGCCCTAACACCCTAAACAGCCCCACAACCCTCAACCCTCAACTGCCTCAACAGGTTTCAACTGCCTCAACTGCCTCAACTGCCTCAATTGCCTCAACTGCCACGCTCCGCAGAAAGAATCGCAGACGCTGCAAGCCTGACGCCACCGAAGCCGGCC